GGGTTGAAGTAGAGGCAGCAATCAATAGCCTACCAACCAAAAAAAGTCCACATCCACACAGGTTCACAGCCAAATTCTACCAGACGTACAAAGAGGAGCTGGTTCCATTCCTTCTGACACTGTATCAAACAATACAAAGGAGGGAATCCTCCCTAACTCATTTTACGATACCAACATCATCCTGATACCAAAACCAGGCAGAGACTCAACTAAAAAAACTTCAAGCCAATTAACGCAAAAATCCTCAATAAAATACTGGCAAACAGATTGCAACAGCACATCAAGAAGCTTATCATGACCAAGTAGGCTTCATTCCGGGGATGCAAGGCTGGTTCAACATACACAAATCCATAAATGTAATCCATCACAGAAACAGAACTAAAGACAAAAACCACATGATTATCTCAATAGATGCAGAGAAGGCCTTCAACAAAATTCAACAGCTCTTCATGGTAAAAACTCTCAATAAACTAGGTATTGACGGAACATATCTCAAAATAATAAAAGCTATTTATGACAAACCAACAGCCAATATCATACTGAACGGGCAAAAGCTGTAAGAATTCCCTTTGAAATCAGTCACTAGACAAGGATGCCCTCCCTCACCAGTCCTATTCAACATAGTATTGGAAGTTCTACCCAGAGCAATCAGGCAAGAAAAAGAAATAAAGCGTATTCAATTAGGAAAGGAGGAAGTCAAACTGTCTCTATTTGCAGATGACATGATTGTATATCTAGAAGACCCCATCGTCTCAACCCCAAATCTTCTCAACTGATAAACAACTTCAGCAAAGTCTCAGGATACAAAATCAATGTGCAGAAATCACAAGCATTCCTATATACCAATAACAGACAGTCAAATCAAAAGCAAACTCCCATTCACAATTGCTACAAAGAGAATAAAATACCTAGGAATACAACTAACAAAGGATGTAAAGGACCTCTTCAAGGAGAACTACAAATCACTGCTCAGTGAAATAAGAGAGGACACAAATAGATGGAGCAACATTCCATGCTCATTGTTAGAAAGAATCAATATCATGAAAATGGCCATACTGCCCAAAGTAATCTACAGATTCAACGATATCCCCATCAAGCTACCAATGACCTTCTTCACAGGACCGGAAAAAAAACACTTTAAACTTCATATGGAATCACAAAAGACCCTGCATAGCCAAGACAATCCTAAGCAAAAAGAACAAATCTGGAGGCATCACACTGCTGGACTTCAAACTATACTAGAAGCCTACAACAATCAAGCATGGTACTGGTACCAAAACAGAGACATACACCGATGGAACAGAACAGAGACCCCAAAAGAAACACCACACATCTACAACCATCTGATCTTTGACAAATCTGGCAAAAACAAGCAATGGGGAAAGGACTCCATGTTTAATAAATGGTGTTGGGAAAACTGGCTAGCAATGTGCAGAAGGCAGAAACTGGAGCCCTAACGGTTAACTTACACTAAAATTAACTCCAGATGAATCAAAGATTTAAACATAAAACCAAACACCATAAAAACACTAGAAGAAAATGTAGGCAAAACCATCCAGGACAAAGGCATAGGCAAGGACTTCATGACTAAAACACCTAAAGCAATGGCAATAAAAGCCAAAATAGACAAATGGGATCTAATTAAACTCCAGAATTTCTGTACAGCAAAGGAAACCATCATTAGAGTGAATTGCAAAAATGTTTTCCCATTCTGTTGGTTGCCAATCTACCCATCTGACAAAGGGCTAATATCCAGAATCTACAAGGAACTAAAACAGATATATAAGAAAAAAACATAACCCCATTCAAAAGTGGGCAAAGGATATGAACAGACACTTTTCAAAAGAAGACATATATGAGGCCAACAAACATATGAAAAAATGCTCATCATCACTGGTCATTAGAGAAATGCAAATCAAAACCACACAGAAATATCATCTCATGCCAGCTAGAATGACAATCACTAAAAAATCTGGAGACAACAGATGCTGGAGAGGACATAGACAAATAGGAACACTTTTACACTGTTGGTGGGAGTGTAAATTAGTTCAACCATTGTGGAAGACAGTATGGAGATTTCTCAAGGATCTAGAAACAGAAATTCCATTTCACCCAGCAATCCCATTACTAGGTATATACCCAAAGAACTATAAATTGTTCTACTATAAAGACACATGCACACGTATGTTCATTGCAGCCCTGTGTACAATAGCAAAGACCTGGAACCAACCCAAATGTCCATGAGTGATAGCCTAGACAAAGAAAATGTGGTATATATACATCATGGAATATTATGCAGCCATAAAAAATGATGAGTTGGTGTCCTTTGTAGGGATTTGGATGAATCTGGAAACCATCATTCTCAGCAAACTGACACAAGAACAGAAAGCCAAACACCGTATGTTCTCACTCATAGGTGGGTGTTGAACAATGAGAACACGTGGACTCAGGGAGAAGAACATCACACACTGGGGGCAGTTGAGGGGTAGGGGAGAGACAGTGGGGGATGGGGAGATAACAAGGGGAGAAATGTCAGATATAGTATGCACCTAAAGTAACATAAATAAATTTTTAAAAAAGAACTTAGCACTCTACGATCAGCTGGTAGAAAAACCAGAAAGGTTTGTGCCTTTCCTTCAGGGCATTGAGTTCCTTCAGACTCTGGGCAGGTCTAGAGATACTGTCTGGGAGCCAGGTATTGGAGTGAAAAAAACAGACATTTACCTTGTATGTTGTATTCTACTGCAGCTAAGCTGGCCCTCAAACCTCAGACCAAAATCATTCTCACTCTTCTCTCCTCTTTTTACAGGCAGTGGAGCCTCTCCCGATGGCCGCCACCACCACCGGCCCACAGAGATTTCTGCCAGGCCACCATCAATGCTTACTGAAAGCCCAAGGGCTCTTTAGTCAGCTCAGCAAATTCTCCCAGACCTGGGACTCACCCTTCAAGGCCATGCAATCCCTTGTGGCCCAGGACCGGTCTATAAATGCTGTCCAAGAGCCTAAGCCTGGGACTTAGTGACCACAGGAACCTCCTTGGTGCTCTACCCATTGTAGCTGATCTGGTACCTAAAGTGCAAGACAAAGTTCCCCCTTTCCCCACTCTGTTTTTTCAAGCAGAAGGAATCTTTCACTCAGGCCACTATAGCTGGAAATGTGCTGGGTCTCACCTGATGCCAGCACATCTCTGAGTCTCACCCAAAGCCCACAGTGTACTACCTAGGTATTGCTATTGGTTATTTAGGGCCCAAAGGCTAGCTCTTTAGTCAGCATGTGACTAATCCTGCCAAAACCATCCTTCCCTTCAAGGCACCAATCTCCCTTCTGGACCCGGGTATGTCTAGAAACATCATTTGGGAGCTAAGGCCTGGAATGGGGTCTCAAGAATCTGCCTGGTGCCCCATCGTCTTGTGGCTGGGCTGGTATCCAAGATTCAAGAGAAAGTTCTCTTTACTCTTTGCTCTCTTCTCCTCAAGCAGAAGGAAGGAATCACTTTTGTTGCTATGAGCTATTCTGGCTGGGGTTCAGGGAGGGATGGTCCCAGCACTCCTTTGGCTGCCTTAGCTGGTGTCTCACTAGGTCCCATGCCAGCCTTGTCCGCTGGCTTTAAGCTCAGGCCAGCGCTAGTAGTTGCCTAAGAATTGCAGTTCTTGTGTCCTACACTGCCTTTGAAGTTTACCTGGAACACCCCAGAGCACTTTAGTCCATGGTGGTGAGGCTTGCTAAGAGAAGTTCCAACCACTAGGATGAGTGATTTCCTTCAGGCTAGGGCTGGTCCAAATGCTCCCTCCATGGTTGGGCACTGGCTGGGCCTAGCACAGCTTTGCCCTCTCTGCGACTGGGCGGCATTGAGTTCAATGCTAAGTCCTCCAGTTGGTATGCTCTCCCTCCCTCAAGTGCACAGATTCTCTTTTTCCCCCTGTCACTGCTGCCATGGGTATAGGGAAGGGGTGGCATCAGCAATTCAAGACTGTTCTCTCCTACCCTCTTCACAGGTGCCAGCATGTATATTATCTTGCCTAAGTTAAATTTTAACTAATAGAGCATTCCCAGCAGTAGTGTGCTGGGAAATATTTATCAAATGGCTCCATGTAGGAGAGAAATCAGATTAGTAGTGCTTCACAATTGCTGTGATGTAAATACTCCCACCATGGTGAATTTCTAACTACCAACATGATATCACTGGATATGTAAGTAAGATGAGATGTGAACAATCAGCATGGATGAGCTGAACAGACTTTGGCATGCCACTGTTTACAACACAGCTTATGCTCAGAAGTCTATTTTCCAAATTAATATAGACCACAGATGGACAAACTTTTTCTGAGAAGGTCCAGATAGTATTTTAGGTTTTGCATACCACATAATTTCTCTCTCAACTGTTCAACTCTGTCATTGTAGTGCAAAATCAGTCATAAGCAAACATGTTCGTGAATGGGTATAGATGTGCTCCAATAAAACATTATTTGCAAAGACAGATGGCAGGCCAAATTTGGCCCATGAGCCATAATCTGCTCACCTTCTATAGACCACAAATGACTGTAGACCCAGAAGTAAATTCAAAGCAAGACAATATTTCTTTAGAGATTCAGAAGACTCTTTAAGCTATTGTTATACTTCAGATGTATGGCTATGAACATTTGTTATTACTGCAGCATCAGCGTGTAGAAATGTGGGTTAAAGGGTGCCTAAGCCAATAGAATGCAGGCTAATGAAGTGTTTACTCAACTCTATTGTTTAGTAAACGCAGGTATGTTTCTATCAGATCTATTAATTCTATCACACTAGAAAATGTGAGCAGATTGTAGAAAATATAAAAGACGGTAAATTCTATAGGGGTCTGGCTCATACTGAACCTATCTGCAAACTTATTTACATGATATATGAATTATTTATCATAACACATATCGTTCTTAGTGAGTATGGGTATACATGTCTATCTTTTGCTAAAAGTTTTCTTAACCAAGATGCAGACTTCAGCACTGACTGATATGCTTTACCGGGGGCTGTCTTAATAATCAATTTTTACAGATTACAATGCTTTGGATCAGTGGAGTATGGAACTGTAAATCCTTTGGGAAATATGGTCCCAGCAAAGCAGCTCTGAAAAAGCAGGCACATAGGCAATTGCTACAGTAGGGTTCTATTCACTTTCAACTCATCTTTCTTTCCCAAAGAATCAATTATTTCCCAGTTTAGTTCTAGCACTCATAGGTGGAGACAAAAAGTTTGAGTTCCATAGTGTTTTTCACCTCACTTTGATAGCATTCTTATTTTCTAGGAACTTGGTAAAAGACACAGGGACCAAGATATAAAAGCTCCAATGTGCTTAATGACTGTTAAAAAGCACTTAACATTCCACTCTCACTATGTCAGTATTGAATGAGCAACTGAGTCATTAATTCCATGAAGGCTCCCTGTCCCTTTATTCCGTACAATGTGGCATGGTAACAGTGAAGCCAGACAGGTCAACAAGGAGGTTCAGCCCTTGCCCCTTCTTCAGTACACACAGCTGAGCCTTAACTAATCCCCAAGAACCTTTCTGGTAGCAAATTCTTCTATGAATCATGATAGGACTTGATATTCCTATAACACCCCTTTATCAGGGAACTTGCATGTTACTGACATTTATCTCCTTAATCTCTCGGGTCCTTGAGGGCAACCTCTATGGAGCCAATCCCCTTCAAATGTGGGAAAGCTGAGGCTCCAGGGAGGAAAAAAAAGACTTGTCAAGACCTGTTATGTCATTCATTAGGAAAAAGTAGATTCGTATTCCGGTTGTTATAAGAGTGATAGTCATAGCCACAGCTAGAAACATTTTCTCTGCAATGTTTCCTTGTATCTTCAAAGGCATTTAACCTCATGAGCCAAAACCCTGATAGTCTCATTACATTGTTAGCAATTCCCTTAGGGGACTTCTTTTTTATTTGTGCCTTGACCTGCAGGCGCAAGAATGGGTGATCATAAATTCTGTGAAAAAAGCTTATCCAGTAGAGGGAGATTCCTCTCTTCCTCTTCTGGAGATAGAACAGAGCTAGGTCATGAAGAGGTCTCAGAGTGCCTTAGGCACTTCCCTAGGTAGAGAGTAAAAGTGTCCGAGAATTTAACATGTGGCTTTTTGGAAATTTCTCAGAGCTGGGTTTGGAAAGGATAGCACAGTTTGACTGGTAAAAGAAATTTTCAGGACATCAGAGCTGAATACAGGTGCGTCTCACTTTATGTAATGGAACATGGCTGTTCAAAACTGCATGCAAATCAGTTTGATGATGGTAAAATTATAGGCTAGCCATCCCTTAGCATTAACAGCTTCAAGAACAGTTGACTTAAGCGGTTTAAGTTTTTAGCCTCTACTTTCATCAGGCCAGCTTTACTTTTAAAATGTTAAGTGTTTGAACTCAGTATAAAAGTTTGTTGGAATAAAGATTATTTTTGGCTAGGAGACCAGTGATTTAATATACCCTTTCCTATGAAAATATTAAAAAAAAAAAAAACCTGAAGAAGAGAAACGGGAAATGACTTTCTCAAAGACCACCAATAGTTACCAATATTTTGTTGTATGGGAGCTGCTTCTATCACAGCATTCTTGGGGTTGGGGGGGTGCACCTCCATTTCTAATGTGTTTCATAAAGCCATAAACCCAAAGCTGAAAGGGAGCTCAAGAGATGATGATCTTCTTACAAAGAGCCATTTTACTCTAAGTTCACTGTAAAGATCAGAGCCTTGAAACCTAACTATTCTGTGCACAGTCACATAAATAATTAGCAGCAAAGAAGGTGTCAGAGTCTCAAGTTCAGCATTCTAGTAGAAGCTCTGCTCCCTACTCCCGCCTGAGTCCATCTTGTTGGACTCTTCATTGGTCAGTGGCACCTGACTCTATAGTTTACAGTTTATCTGGCCTCTTATTCAGCGGCAAAGCTTTGGAAACCTAATACTTTACTTAAGCCTTTTGCTTTAAGCAAGTTATGTGTTCCATTGAAGAAAGAGCCCTGAGAAAATTCTTCTTTTCTCACTGTATCTCCCATGCAGGTAGACTCAGATACAAATTTTTGATTTAAATTGTAGACATGTGTGAAAGATGTATTTGATCTCTTGAGAACCCTTTATTATTAAATAAGGCAACATAGTACTAGCCCTTTGGAAAAGCCAACTTTAAGAATGATTATAAAAACAGTTTTTTCATTGCACTATACTTGACCCATATCGGACTTCCATTTGTGTTTTGTAAACATGTCTTCATCATTGTAACAAGCTGACTGCTCTCTGCCTACTTTTTAAATAAACCCATATGATCATTTTAATTGACTGGCTCTTCGCTATCCTGTTGCTTTAAGTACAATGACACTGATGTATTCACATCAGGAAGTGATGGAGTGGACACTTAATTTCTTCAATGAGGGTGATTGTTTATATGGGCATATTAACAATATAGCTATGGATTCTGTCAATAGAAGATGCATTTGATAAAGGAGACAAATATTCAGGCATTTTCCCCCAGCCTATCCAAGGCATTTTTTTTCTGGTGCTAGGGAATGAGAGATGATAACCCCTGCCTATGGTGCACTTGGCCCTGCTACTTGAAAATATTCCTGTGGCCAGGTACAGTGCCCTGCCTTGGCAGCAGCAATGACACCAGCACTAAGATGAAAAGCACATGTGGTTTATGGTGTTTAGAAATATCCTTTGTTTTTGTCGTTCTTCACACTGCTCTATGCAAAATCAGAGTGAACTCCTATTTCTTCAGCCTCATTCTGTCTACCCAATACTCATTACTGAAACTCCAACCAAACTGGCTTTCCGACTCCTCACCCACTCCTCCTAGCATGTCCTGCCTCAGGGATCATCACTGGAGGTGGTTCCATCTAGAATCTTCTATTACCAGATCTTCCTCTGGCTGGCTTTTTCTCATTCAGGACTCTCTCTGCAAATGAAATCTCCTCCAAAAGGCCTTCCCTGACCCTCCTATCTAAAATAGTTACTCTTCATGGGATTTTCTTTTCTTTTCTTCATAGCATCTAACACTAACCTATTTTATCTACATGTTTGTTTATCTGTCAGTTTGTTTCTTCTTCCAGATTGCAACTTGCAGGAGAACTGAAGCACCAGAATTTGAAACACTACCTACTACATTCAATAAAGACATGTTTCTTATGTAAATAACTGAACTGATCACCTTTAATCCTTTTTAAAATGTCTAGGGGATGGAAAGTCATGTGGCCAGAACAAAGTCAAATAGGTCAATAGTGACTAAGTGGATGGGTCCATATTTATACCCTTATGACTAATCAAGATTATGTCCAATAAACCATATTGCTTCTTGCACAAAAAAATAGTGGATAATACTAGTCACTTTTTAATATTTTTATTCCATTTAATATTGGACTATAATGGACCCCTTTTGTGCCTCAACTTTTTTTTACCTAATTAGGATAATAAAAGTAACTACTTAATAGGATTACGGTTAGGATGAATTGCACTTATATAGACACATAAAGCACTGAGAATAGTGTCTGAGATATAATAAGCTATATTATTCCTGTGGAGTTCCTTTAAAGATGAAAATTTCCATTTGGTAATTTACCTCCCAATCTATTTTTTTTTTTTTTCTTTTTGAGACAGAGACTCTCTGTCACCCAGGCTGGAGTGCAGTGGTGTGATCTTGGCTCACTACAACCTCTACCTCCTGGGTTCAAGCGATTCTTCTGCCTCAGCTTCCCAAGTAGCTGGGACTACAGGTGTCCATCACTACGCCCAACTAATTTTTGTATTTTTTAGTAGAGACACAGTTTCACCATATTGGCCATGCTGGTCTCAAACTCCTCACCTTGTGATACACCTGCCTCAGCCTCCCAAAGTGCTGGGATTATAGGCATGAGCCACCACACCTGGCCCCAATCATCTTCTCTCCAGGTTAAATATCCTCAGATCTTTAACACTATAATGTGGTTTCTATACCTCCTGCCACTTTTTTTTTTAATTTCCAACTTTTAAGTTTAGGGGTACATGTGCAGCATGTGCGTGTTTGTTACATAGTTAAATGTGTGCCATGGTGGTTAGATGCACAGATTACCTACTGCACAAACTGTGTTACAGTTTGTTAGTGCTCCTTTAAAAACAGGAGACTATAAAAATATTCATTGCAATACTATTAAAATAGCAAAGAATTGGAAACAATTTGAATTAGCAATAAAACAGTTATATGAACTACCATACACCCATATGATGAAATGATATTGGCAGGAAAAAGAATGAAAAATCTATTTTCAATTAGCATATGTGTGTTATGTATGAATTTAGTTATATAAGTATTGACTGATGGTTTTCAGTATTATTTTAGAGGTTAATATCTGATTTATTTTCATGCTCAGATTTTTCCAAATTTGGCTACTTAGACTTTCTTTCATACTGACTTCTGAGTCCTTTTCACTTTTCCTCAATCATTCTTTGATTACAATCTTGCTTTTTTACACAAGATATTCAATTCTCACCTAATTCTTTCCCTTACCCAGTCCTTAAATTAGTCATTCACACTCCTCGCACACATAAAAGAAAATCTCTAGTTCTTTTAAGCATGGTAATTAGAAACCAAACTCTTAGTGCTAGGTATGCTCATTGCTTTTGGTGTGCCACTACAACCAAGCCCTCTTAGGATTGGTGATGTTAGGAAATGTTAGAAAACATATGTAATGGGTTCAATAGCGTATCTACAAAGCTAATATTTCCCGTAATTCAGAATGTGCCTTTACTTGGAAAGAGAGCCTTTGCAAATGTAACTAATTAAGATGAGGTCATATTTGATTAGAGTGGGCCCCACATCCAATGACTGGCATCTTTATAAGGAAAAATAGAGGAAGATGTAGAGCCACAGAACCACAGACACTCATTAAGAATGCCATGTGAAGATAGAGACAAAGATGTAAGGGATGCAGCTACAAACCAAAGAATACCAGAGTGTCAAGGAGTACTATCTACCAGCAGGGGCTAGGAGAAAGGCATGGGATCTTTTCCCTCAGGGAAGGAATAAACCCTGCCAATGCTTTAATTTTGGATTTCTGGCCTCCAAACAGTGAGAAAATAAATTTCTGTTGTTTTAAACCACCAAATATGGGTAATTTGTATAGCAGCCCTAGGAAAATAACACAATATGTATCTATATGTATGTCTGTGTATATATTTATAGCCAAAATTATATCTATATTTATTTATAATATATATGATACCTTATCTATT